CTCTCTTAGGGGCCCAGCTGGAGACTTTTTTGTGCCGCCTGGGGCCCCTGTTGAGCCTCTGGGGCCAACGCTGGGCAATGTCTTGGCTGCAACTTGGACTTGGACCGCCTTGGGCCCATCTGGAGGCCCTCCTAGACCGTCTTCGGGTCCTTTCCAGGCCCTCTTCGGCAGTCATTCACTTGGCATCGCTCGAACGTGTGCTGAAAGGGCGAGGACCATCGAGGAGCATCCTGGATTATCTTGCGAAGAATTAGCGCACGACGCCGACAACATCCACGGAAAATGGACATCCGAACGATGGCAAGGCCAGCCCGCAGAGCGGGAGCACGGCGGGCCCCGAGAAGAGAGCACCGGCACGTCGATGAATCATGACGTGGCGACGTTGGGGCCTCTTGGGGAACCTCCTGGGGCGTCTTGGGCCAGGAGGGGAATAAGCACGCAGACATAAAGGGAGCGTTCCCGACAGGGCCTCGCCTTCGAGGATCGAAAGAGTTGCCATCTCTTCCGCCGCGCAAGGCGGCGGAAGGCCGGCGGAAGTAAAACGAGGCCGCCTCCGCTGGCGGAAGCCGGCGGAAGGGCGGCGGAAGGTGGCGGAAGTACAATGTGGGCCCCGAGGAGATGAAAACGTTTGTGGATTCAGGGTTTCAAATGACTTGGCATCGCTCGGACGTGTGCATCCTTCCTCGGCGGGGACCATCGAGGAGCATCTTGGATCATCTTGCAAAAAAAAAACACGCACGAAGTCGAAAAGCGCACGGGGAATAGACGCCCGAGCGATGGCGAGACGATCGTCGATCCCCAGGAAAATGTGGAAACCGTGGGCAGTGGAGGGGAAGACGAGCACCCAGGAAATACGGAAAGATAGTGGGACTCTTGGGAGTTGTGTCTATTTGTCTGTGTGTCCCTGGGCCCCGTCATTGGGGGCCTCCTGGAGGGCCTCTTTGGGGCAAGACTCTTGACCTCGGGAGGCATATTGAAGCCTCCTGGGGGGCCTCTTGGAGTCTCCTTGGCATGGGTCGGGCGTGTGCTGTTTTCTCGGCGAGCACTACCGAGGAGCATATTGGATCACTTTTCGAAACGCACATACATACACACACGAAACAGAGCAACGGCAAGCCTCCTGGGGGCTTGTTGAGGCGAAGAGCGCGAAACGTCGGTTTGTGTTCCCTCTCTGGGGCCTCTCTTGGCGCCTCCTTGGAGCCTACTGGGGAGCCGTCTTGGGAGCCTCTTGGACCATCTTGGGGCGATCATGGAGGCCTTCTGGGCCATCCTGGAGTGTCGGAAACTCGAAAAGGCGAGACCGTCAACCTCTTCCAATAATCTACGGGATTGTTCGTGCCTCTGTGAGCCCTCTTGGGGCATCTTGGCGGCCTGTTAGGCCACATTGACACATATTGGAGCCGTCTGGGGCCCATGTTGGGGACAGCTGGGCTCGTCTGGAACCGTGGTGAAACCAAATTGAGCCAAATTGAAGCCTCCAAGAGAATTTGGGTGCCGCCGGGACTCGCATCCTTGGCCTCCCCAAGAAACCTCTTCAGGGCTTCAAGTAGCCTGCTTAATAGCAAACCTTCCAGTCTGCCTATCCTGTCCCGGGCCTTCCAGTTTTCTTTGCTCTGTCAAATTCTTGGGGCTCCGACGCGACAAGGGCCCGCAGGGGGGCCGCCGTATTGGAGGGTCATCGGTCACAGAAGTTTGGTGGGGGGCTTGTTTACCCTCTTGGGGTCCCTCTTGGGGCTCTCTTGGGCTGTCTGGGAGCCACCTTGAGGCCTTAAGCTAACTGGCAGCCACAAGGCGAGCAGGACAAGCATCGTTGGTTTCATTTGTGCTTGGGAGGGGTTGGTGGCTTCTCGGGGGCGACCTTGGGTGGCGCCGTGGCCACCTGGAGCAGTTTTGGAGCGACACTGAGACACCTTGAAGACATGCTGGATCCAATTTCCGGCAAGATTGAGACGTCCTGGGCTGTCTCAAGCCGTCGTGGACGCTCTGACCGCCCGCGAAACTCCCCGTCCAGACCCAGGGGAGGGTGTAGGGGTAAGGATCAAGTTCCTGGCGGGAGCGCCGCAAGCTGTCTCTCCCACTCCCACCCGCCCTCCCACTCCATAAGTAGCACCCGAGCTTCAGCATAAGCAGGGGCCGCCATCGACAACAATCGGGAACCACAACCGACGCCAGCAAGGTGTGAGAAGCCCGCGAGGTGCGCCGCACGTGCTAGGTGCGCACGTGCCAGTGCCCGCCAGGTGCGCCACTTTGAGCAACGTCTTGATCCCCCACCATCCCTGTCAAAACCGATGCGAAGTGACGTCGAGTATGCCAGCATTGTGCAGCGCGTGTGGGCGTGCATCTGCAATCACTCGGCCCTTCTTGACAGGGACGGTGCGCCTGCACGCAGCATGCAATATGCCGCCCGCCCCTTCCCCGCCGTCCCTGGGAACGGATGCGAAGTGATCGCGGGGCGCCCGCGCATGATCCAGATTTTGGCGCAACCTGCACTTTGTGCTGTCCCAAACCATCGTGTGGTGTTGGGCCCTCGCTTTGAGGAGACAGCGCCCCCCGTCACTCACCTCACCTCCCTCCTCCCTCTCCTCCCTCTTCCCAGTTCTCTGCCCTGCATCGGCCCCCCACTCGACCAACCAGTGCGAAACACCTATCACAGGCATCGTGGCTCATGGGGAGCTCCACCGAAGGCCGCAGCCGCCGTGTCCACACGCGTTTCCCCCACCCAGTGCAGCATTTCGTAGCCCACCAGGAGTTCCACTGAAGGCCTTAGTGACAGGGGTCTACATGGGTCCCCCCGCCTCCCCGCCCAGTGCACCGCTCGAGGCCCGTAGAGAGTTCCACCGAAGGCCCCAGTGGCAGGGTTCACGACGCTTCGTGACACATCGGGAGCTCCACCGAAGGCCCCACTGATAGGGGTCCACATGCGTCTCCCTCACCCACCAAGCACAGCGTTTCATAGCCCAGAGGGAAGCTCCACAGAAAGCCCCGTTGACAGGGTCCGCATGCGTCTCCCCCACCCAGTACACCGCTTCGTGGCCCGCGCGGGGCTCCACCGAAGGCTCCAGTTGCAGGGTCCACATGCGTATCCCCCACCCAGTGCACCTTTTCGTGTCCCATACGGCGCTCCACCGAAGCCCCCAGCGGCAGGGTCCACATGCGTCCCCCCCCACCGAGTTCACTGTTGCGGAGCTCATAAGTAGCTCCACCGAATGCTCCAGTGGCAGGGTCCACATGCGTCTCACAGTACAGTTGTGCATGGCCCATCGGGAGTTCCACCAGAGGCCACACTGGCAGGGCCCAGGTGCTTCCCCTCCGCCCAGTACACCGCTTCGTGGCACATAGGGAGCTCCACCGAAGACTCCAGTGGCAGGGTCCACATACGTCTCCCCCACCCAGTGCGCCGTTTCGCAGCCCATAGGGAGCTCCACCGAAGGCCCCAGCGGCAGTGCCCACATGCTTCTCCCCCACCCAGTACACCGCCTCGTGGCCCATTGGGAGCTCCACCGAAGGCCCCAGCGGCAGGGTCCACATGCGTCTCCCCCACCAAGCACACCGCGTCGCGCCCCCATGAGGATCCCCACAGAAGGCCCCAGTGGCAGGGTCCACATGCGTCTCCTTGCCTCCTGTCGGCACACCCCTCACACGTTTCGTGTCCCCAGAAGAAGCTTCTGCACACTACCACCATTACGGCACTCCCCTCACGCGCTCCGTGGCCCCATAGGGCCCATAGGGAGCACCACCGAAAGCGCTACCCACACCGCGGTATTCACAATTGTGTATTTGTGGGCCCTTCGCCAGGATAATTTGTTTATGAGGGATGGTCGGGGTTGTTGGCATCCCATACAACAGGCAATGTGCTGGTCATATGTTTGCCCCTGTCGAAAACCATGCAAAGTCATCGCGGGGCGCCCGCGCCTGATCCAGATGTTGATGCAAAGTGCACTTCGTATTATTTGTTGCAACGGGTTGCAGGGGGATCTTGGCATTATACACCGCACGCACTCTGCTGGCACCGCGGCGACCCTGACAGAAACCAATGCAGACTGATGGCGGGGCATCCGCGCATGATCCAGAATGTGGTACACTATGCACTTCCTGTGTTTGCTGTTGCAAGGTATGGCGGATGTGTGAGGGGAAGAGGGGCATTGGTCCCGGTTTTTCGCCAGTCGGGTGGGAGAGGATGTGTATATCAATATGGGGCAGTGATAAGGCCCTCCCCGAACGGGAAGGAGGTTGGAAGAGGAAGCGCCTTCAACCATCTCCGCCTGCAGAGCTGGTGGGATTGGACAATGAGTTGGCCGTCTCGCGGACCTCTAAGGCCGAAGGGATGCCATCTAAGGCCGAAGGGACTGGGAAGTAAGATTTCCTGGACAACACAAGTGTGTTAAATGATTTTAGCAATCTGGGAACTTTTCTGGGCGCTCTTTGGGCGTCTCTTGAGGCTTCTTGTGTGCATTTCGAGGCCTCCTGGGAGGCTCCTGTACCGCCATGGACATGTCTTGGGCCGCTCAGTCGGCCTGCGCAGGCTCTCGTGAGTCATCCTGACATCGCCATGTGAGGCAATCCAGAAAGGGCCTCGCCTTCGAGAGCTCAAGACGTTGGCATCTCTTCCTCGGCGGAAGGCCGGCGGCAATAAAACTAGGCCGCTTCCGCCGGCGGAAGCGGGCGGAGTTAAGATTCTGCCCGCCAAGAGATGCATGTTGCGGGGTGCCCAGGGGGTCCAGGACGAGCCATGTGGGAAAATATCCGTCCAGATCCAGCCCGTGTTCCCTCCTCCGTCTGCTAAGCTCTGTCCCCGCTCGCCCCCGAATTGGGAGGGCCTGGGGGAGGGTCATTGCGGGTGGAAGAGTCACACGCCTGGTGACTCCACAGCGCGAGTGACGATACTGAGCAAGCAATTCGACTAGCTTCTGCTTTGCCTGCGGTTTCTCCTTTAGGGCGACTTAGGGCGGCATTTTAGTCATTGAGCCTGTTTGGCATGCCTCACGGAAGCCTGCAGTGCCATGGGCCATGGTTGCCTTGTCCATTTCTGTTCTTCGTCGTCGCGAGGCGGGGGAGGAAGAGGAGGAGGAGGAGGAGGAGGAAGAGGAGGAGGAGGAGGAAGAGGAGGAGGAGGAGGAGGGGGGGATCTTCCGCCCGCCTTGGCAGCGCTCCTCTATTCCCGTTCTCCTCCTCTCCTCTCCCCAGTTGTGCCCTGCAGCCAGCTGCAGACCGTGGCAGCAGTCCGCACGGGGCGCAGGCGTGCTTTCGTGTGGCGCAGGGGCGGGCAGCCTTCGCGGGTGTGCACGGCGGCGCTGTTCCCGCAGATCGAGGCAATGGGCCCATCTCGTCTCGCGCCGACTGCAAACACTTTGCTGCTGCCAAGTCGTGAAACACAAGGCTAGTTTGTTTAGCTCTGCACACTGTAATGATCTACAATAATCCCTCCTCCCCCGAAGTTTTGCGGAAGATCTCCCACCCCTTCTGCGTGTTGAATTTGTCTACGGGGTTTCAACAGTTGTGTGTTTTCTCATGGTGGTTTGTCCTGCTATTGTTTGCGTTGTTTCATATTTGTGCTCCAGTTGCAGCGTGGGCCTCATTTTCGGATCGGTGCTTTGCTCCCGTGGTTGATGGCGCTCTCGCCCCAGCGCGGGACATGTTTCTGGTTCCGAGTCTCGGTTCATTGTGGTCCACCCCGTCACTTCTTTTCCTCCGCCTTCACTTGGTCCTCCTGTTCTTCCCGCTCCTTCCACTCCAGTTCCTGCTGCTTCTGTTTTTCTCGCCCCAGCGCAGGCCACTTTTCTGAATCAGAGTCGTTTTTCATCGTTGTCGCCCTCCTCAGTCCCCCTCCTCCGCCTTACCCTAGTCCTCCTTTTCCTTTCCGTCGCCATTTTGGCTCAAGCCATTTTCCCTCAAGCTAACAATGTCCTCGAGGTGGTTGAGTGACCAGTTTCTGACGGCCCCACAGAGGGCTGCACCCAGGCCAGGGGCCGTCGTATTCTCCTTCCCTTGTGCTGCACCGCAGCCATCAGCACATTTTCACCATTCGCAGTCTTGTGATCTGCAGCCCGCAGCCACGGCCAGCGGCAAGCCGAGGCGGTGGGTTGCTGGCCAGAATTGAATTCGCAGCTGGGTGCATCTGGAAGCAGGCATTCGCCAGTGCAAGTATCGTGGAGCCAACTTTCAGCCGCCAAATGGTTGGCCCCTCCAAACAAAGGGAAAAGAAATGGCCAATCGGGAGCTGGGCAGGCATCTTCGCAGTCAATTGGAGCAGGAGCTGGAGCAGGACCGACGGACTTCTTCAAATATTGCCAGGACAGATCTGGGGGCAGCAACGTTCCAATCCGCCCTAAGCAGACTGATGACGATGCAGATGACGACAAGCAGCAGTCTGCTGTTTCAGATAAACTCCAAAGCCATATTGAATCTCTCGAGAAGTACATCGCCTCGGCCAGCACCGTCACCGAAGAGCTGGTTCCTGGTCATGAACAGGGTGTTGCAGAATCCAGGCATAAGCTTGCCCAGCTCAAGGAGCAGGCCGCGGTCAACCTGCCCCACCACAATCGAGTTCATCGTGCCAATATCCGTGTCAAACGTGCTACGGGCAAAGTTGAAACGCTACGCGAACAGATGCTGGATAATACCAATTTCGTTGGCCAGATGGAGAAGCTTCTCGAAACTATGCGAGATGATGGGCAGCAGTTGCAGCAGCGCCTCGACGAGGCAGAGAAGCAGCTCAAGTCCGAGCAGGATCAACAGTCCCAGACCTGGGCGTCTACGGCGAGAGCGCGCCCCGGTAACATCAACTCCTTCAAGGTTTCGTTGGAGGGGCTCGCAGCCAAGGCCCCACAGGACAACCACATCGCACAGTTGGTCACGGCAGCGCAGCAGTTGGCTACGAAGTTCGAGGAGGCAGCCCAACGAGAAGATGCATCAATGGATGACCAGCCTGCGGGGCCCAGCATCGAGAGGAAGCCGCTTGAGGCGCTGGAGGCTCTTATCCCCGTTGATAAACGTGCTGGTGGGAAGAGCAGAAGGCGGCCATCGCCAAGTCTGCAAAACCAGCAGTGCCACCGGGCCCCTCTCAGCATGCCACACCAGTTCCAGTCGCCAAACACCCAGCAGTCCCAGTTGCGAAGCGAGAAGGAGGTGCAGGACAACCGCGAGGGGCTGCGGGACCAGGTCAAGGTAAAGGGCCTTCTCCAGCGCACGAGGATACATATCGTGAGCCTCGGTCACCACGAGGCGCAGGAGCAGCAGGTTCAGGAGATCCTGCGGCGCGCGATTCAGCTGTGGAAGCACGTGGCCGTAGGACTGATGGGTAGCAATGGTTTTAGAGTGCCTGCAGGACTGTGCAAGCCAGGCGCCGACGGCGACACGTCTAGCACATAACGCCAGAGCGACTGCAACCATTTCGGGCCTGAGTTTTCTGACAGCGATAATGGTTTCGACCATGGCCAATTTGATTGTGATCTTGGCGTTGGTGGGGATGCGATGCTGGCGGAGCTTTGAATGGCTCATCTTGGGGTACTATTAAGCAGAGACTGGGGGGAACTTCAGGACACTTCGGTCGCAGTTTCGCTTGGTCAGGAAATCGAGCTTCCTGAGGAGTCCATCGGAACCGCTTCGGCCTGGGCGTTAAATCGTGGTTGGAAGTCATTCTGGGTTCCGAGTTTTGTCGGCCCCACTGGCGCGTCTCGCTCTAGCCAGAATGACCTCGGAGAAGCAGGCGCATCGTCTGGAGTGGCCATCTTCGCGAGAGCTACTCTAGGGGCCGATCGTCTGGAACCGCCCCCCCCCCCCCCCCCCCCGAGGGCATCCTCTTTCGGGGGGGGGGGGGAGCTTCGCCATGCGCGGTGGAGCTCCCAGGGGCGCCAGGTATTCCACGCGTTTCGGCCATGGGGGCGTCTCAGAAGGCCTTTCGATCATTAACTTGGAAGTATTGGAACGGATGACTACGCATTGTAAGGCATCGAACCTGCAGTTTATGATTGGGGGCGATTTCGATACACCGTATGAGTCCATGGCTTCTTCTGGGTTTTCAGAGGCGCTGGGAGCTCAGACGTTGGTTCCAGAACCTCCCATGTCCGATAATGGCAAGCCGAAGGTCATTGATCATGTCGTCGTCGAGTCTGAGGTTGGCAAAGTGGGTAACCTTTGTCGGGGCCGACTTTGGTCGGCATGTTAGGCCGCACTTTCTGGTGCGCATATGGCTGCCAGCTAGTGTGAATGGGGTTCGCATGCCCCAGTTCGACACGGTGCCTGCCTTGCCGCGCGAGCTGCCCGATGAAGAGAGCGAGATTGGAGACTCGCAGGTCGAGTGGGCGGATTCGCCGGAGCGCAGAGAGCAGCTTTTTCTCCAGCTTCAAGGACAACCGGGGGTAACAAAACCACTTGGGGCGATGGGGGTTTCTGGGAGTTTTATACAGGCACTGGCCCCAGAGGGCTGAGTGTGAGGCGGCGGGCAGGATTAGCTCGAAACTTACCAGACCAGGTGTTCGAGGTCTTTTGCAGAAGCCACGTCTCGCCCCTCTTGTTCAACGAGTTGCTGTTCACAAGTGCTTCGCAGCAGTTGCTCAGGGCCCAGCTTGGCTCGCATCAGGATCAAACGGTTGTCGCAGCTGCTGGGCGCACTCTCGCATGCCTCCAGTCAGGGGGCGAGGGCAGATCAAGCGCGAGACCTTTCTCAGACACGCAGTAAGTTGCCACCGCCCAGCCGCATCATGTGCTGGAGCACGCCAGCACTTGCAATTCGTTTCGTACCATCCAGGACTTGGCTCGGCAGGTTCTCGCGTTTTTGATTATTGCTTCTGGCCTCGATCCAGGGAGTCGCAAAGACATCGCTTCCGAGTTAGAGCGGGAGTTTGGCTTGGTGGTAGTCCACGCTAGATCGGTCATTGCCGACTCTCATAAGAAGCACCGCGAAAGCTGGCAGGATTTGGTTATCAAATCTTTGAAGGGGCGGACCCAGCTCATCGGTGAGTCAAATGGGAACCAGGGTTATTCGTTTTTGAAGGAGTTCGATCGATGCCCAGGCCCTCCTCGGCGAGTGCAATAGGACATGCGACTTGCTTTGGGAAGCGACTGCCGGGCCTCATCATCGCACAGCAGTTGCACAGCCAGCTTTGCCGCTTCCATCAGTTACCGCCGCGCAGGACATCAGCAAGGCTTGTTCCGCCAGGTCAGCCGTCAGCCCGGATGGATTTCATTGTAGGCACCTCTCGTGCATGACCGACATGGGGGTGCAGGCTCTTTTTAATGCTATGGGAATCTCTGAATGTCTTGGAGAGCTACCCCCTCAGCTTCAATAGGTTATCCTGGCTTTGTTGCCTACCTGAGGCCTCCAAGTGGTATCGTACCATTGGGGTATTTGGCATGTTCTATCAGGTCTCTGGGGAAATCAAGATTCCGGACGCCAGATCTTGGATGGAAAAGTTTGACCACTTGGTTTAGCTGCGGGCCAGGAAGATCCCCGACATCTGTTGCCCGGGGGCAAAGTGTCAGGAGCGAATCTTCCAAGGCCTCTGTCGAGGCAGCAACGGGCCCCTTTTGGGACCTGGCTTCGTTTCACGAGAGGTTTGCGTGAGCCAGGTTGCTTTCCAGAGGCATGGCGTCAGTTGTCAGCCCCACGCTGTTGCAGTTTCATCTGGCCGCGCATGGCTCTGCGAGGTTTGTAGGATACAAGCGCGCAGTTTCCAAGGCTTTGTATGTTTTTCGTGGCATTGTAGCAGGCTGTTCGTTCGCCATAGTTTGTGCCGGGATCGATTGCTTCCAACGTTTCCTTAGAATTACCTCCCTCAACTCGGCCATCTTCTTCGAGTTCTACTTCGACGATTTCTCGCTCGCAGAGTTCGACGTGAGCAAGGATGCGTTTAGGTGGCTTGTGCAAGCCGCCGGGCAACTGGCAGCGATGGCCAGGGATGAGCTGGACGCCGCCTTGTCGGTCGATAAGCGCTCACTCGCGGCATCCTCGGCAGCGCCCGGCAGGGGCATCTTGAAGGCCCTGGGAGCTTGGGCAGGGAAGTGACAGCACATGACGACCAACCTGGGGTCTGACTTCAGAGCGGGAAAATCTTTCGCCGTCTCCAGAGATGCCAAGAGGGCCAAGAGAATGTAGAACATAGAACAACGTGCTGTTCGATTGAGACAACAAGTACGCGTTGCTGGTCAGGGAGCTCGCAAGATTGCCACCTGCGGGTCGTTCCCTGCTGGAGCTTTTGCACATTGTGTAGAAGGGCTCTCAAACGTGCATTTAGAAAACTCGGGGCCATAGAGTTGTCGGCCACAGGGCCAACATGCAAAGGAGAATGCAGGGCTGATACTTTTGCTTTGTACGAGTCCAAGGCGGATAAGTGGCCCCTGGCTCCTGCGGTGCGTTGGGCCCAGGAAGTGCGGGCCACTGGTA